TGTTAATGTAAAGTCCATAAGACAACAACAAAAAAAAATACAACACTAAAAACATTTTAAGTCTTTATATTATATGTTATGATATTAGAATTTAGTGATGACCTATATTTCATTTAATAAGCCTTGAGAAACAAATCAAATATGACATCAACATTACAAATGCATTAAATTATCAATGCCTTTGATACAAATAAATTTGTTTCCAGATTATTATGGAAAGCTGGAAAAACAAATCAATTAAATAGGTTTAAGTTTCCAAAAAAAAAAAAGTCTTATAATGTGTTAAAATACATCAAGACTACAAATGTGTCATTCAAACAACTACACCTCTTAAACTTACTAGTTTCAATAGATACCAAAGTTTCTTGTCCACCAAGTACAAATAATCATACCTATTGATAAGAAGAGATGTTCATTTGATAATCTCTTTAGGCTTATATTCTAAAACCTTTATCAGAACAAAAAAGTACTTGGAAAGTCTGTTTAATGCTTCAGATATTAAAGAACCATCACATTATGTATCTTCTCAAGCCACAAATCAAAGTGGAATGTACAGTATCAGGTCTTGATGTTTAAAAAATGCATAAGGACTGTAAACAGCCTCCACCAAATAGTATATTGGTATTGGTACTGTTACCAGGCTGATGATGTATCTTTAGTCTTTGTTTAGAAAATTAGACAATAAAAGTTAGTTTTTTGTATTAAGTGGACCTGTGGTCATATTTCAAGCAAAAAGTAAGGGTAAGAGGCAAATATTAGGCCTGGTACATTAATTTGACGAATAACTAAACTAAGAACCAATAAAATTGGAAAAATTATAATGTTATAATCTCCTTAAAGTCTGGCACATACCATCTTGAGAAGAATCATATGATAATTACTCTTTTGTAACTTACAAACAAGAGTAAAATGGTATCCAACTTTTTACAAAGAAATAAAACATCAGTTTCAGCATTTGTTCAAAAAATTTAGTCATAAACTTGCATAATTTGAAGTTCATCAATTTTGAATAGTCATTTGTATGTAACAAGAACCTTTGTCCTGTTTGTGTTAAATTGTTAGTTATTTTTGGTGTACAAAACTTGAAGATAGCTTTTATATGCAGAAACATCTGTTAGCTTAAGGACATGCCAATCAGTGATTGCCTTACCGGCCTACGTTGATCTGACTCATTTTATAAGCTGTACTGTTTCTTATAGGTCATTTTCCAGATGGTTCTGTTATGATTAGTGTCTGGCGAAAAGCTTCAGCAGATATTTCCTTTGCAACATCTCAACCAACAATTGGTCCAGTTATCAACACTATTTTCAAGTTTTGAACAACTCGACTTTCAAGATCTACATATCTACATGTGCTGATGTTTCCGTTTATAAACATTATATTTTAAGATCTGTGCAAGAACACAGCTGACAGATGTTTCCGCATATAAAAGCTATCTTCAAATTATTAGTTAGTGGAGCATATTCAATCATAATCCTCACATGTATTGTGTACAGGAGAACCATCTCCATCAGCAATGTCAACATAAAATTATTGCTGTGCAATCAATTCTTGAAAAAGAATCTCACCTGTTTCAGCCTCATCACTTCATCTACTAGACATACTAGAATCAGTATCATTTTCATCATTATCTCCATAATGACTTAAATCTTCATCACCAACAGAATAAATTTAAATTTCATTGTACACGCCTGACTTCCATTTCTTGGCTGCACATTTTATAGACATGTTAGAAGGATTTATATCAAATTTCTTTTCATCCTTTTTGCCATAATCTTCTGATTCTTTTTCTTCATATGTTCATAAGGAATCATTTGTTTTCCAATGTTGAATGTTTTAAACTAAGCCCTTAGTCACTGAATGTGCGGGTAAAGTAAATAAAACCTGCCTCAATGACACTATTATTGTGCCCTATGTAAAGCACCATTTCTACCAGCATACAAATATTCTTAAATTCTTTCCTTCTGTGTAGAAGCACACACTCTCAGAGAGCCTTAGTTTTGACTCCATTCATGTATTACTTAATCATTCTCTTAAATTCTTTCATTCTGGACTTATCTTATTTTTATCAAAATTGCTCATTTTTAGTGTCTTGTAAAAATGCTCAGCAAGTAAATTTAAACAATCAATTTCCATGGCAGTGTTACTCCAGTTTCCTGGTTCTATTAAAAGCATACTTTTTCACAGTGTGTACCTGAAGTTTTTGCTTTGCTTTTTTGTACCATAGGCAGGTTTTCTTCAAACTGCATAGACAGAATAGAACATGCATCCAACACATCTTCATAAAGAAACATTCTGACAGAATAGTAAAGTCTTTCCCTTTTTTTAAGAGTTCATGAAATTTAGATATTAGTCAATACTGCTCTCTATTTGCAACTGGCAAAAGAATTAGTTCTCTATTGCTTGAGTAAGAATTACCATATTACTAAGATATGCTTTATTCTACATCTTATGCATACAACAAATGCACTGGCAGTTGTCTCAAAGTGCCTTTTGAACTTTCAAATAATTTGAATATATAATATATAGTTGTCATGAAGTTTTTCACATCAGCAAATGATTTAGATATAGTATCTTTCAACAAAAATGCAGCTCTATTCCAAACATTGGTTGGTTGATTGCTGTTTTATGGTGCAAAGCAATGGGGCTATCTGTACCAAACAATTTGTAAAAATTTCAAAGGTAAAAGATTATAAAATGTAAAAAGAAATCTAGTTAAAACTAAACAAAGTTTGAAAATCAGGTAAAAACATTTAAATAGAATTAAAAAGGCCTAAAACCCATAAAAAACTAAAAACACTGTCAAGTTGGACAACGTCACCATCACCAATGACACCCTCCAATGTCAGGGGTAAACCCATAGAAAGTATATGTCAAAAATGATGAGTTAAAAAACTGTGACCAAAGCGTAGCCTAGCCATGACAACTTCCTCCTTCTGATCCTTAAGGAAACAAGATGGCCAAAGAGCAACAGAAGGTTTGATCTGGAAAAGCTTGTTATGATGTTGCTCACCCCAAGTCGACTGCCAACTGGTGTGAAGCCATGCCTTGAATACAGGACCGTAGTCCATTTATGGGACAGGCATGGCCATAATGACACTAGAGCAGATGGACTTAGCTGCGGTGACAGCAAACTCGTTCCCGTGAATACCGACATGGCCAGGTACACAGAAAAACTGAATGGAAACAAGAGATAGTGAAAAATGGGCCAGTCATTGTTGAGCAAGATGGAAAGGAGATGAAAAGAATATCTCCCATTGACCTTGGAACTGGAGGAAGAAGAGATGCTAGTTGTGGACGTAATGTAAGATTTTTTTGGTCTTGATGCCTGACCTGCCAAGCATGGGCACGGGCCCACTGGAAAGTGATGCAGTTGGAAAGAGTGGGATACCTGCAAAAAGTACCCGAGGCCCATTTCTGAGCCTTCTGGAGACCACCACGGATGAGGATACCATGGGAAACATGTTGAAATTTTAGGTATAGAATGCAAAGCTGCTTGAATGAAGCAATCAGTTACTGCTTCCATGCAGTTGTTAATAGATGGAAGACTAATGACAGCAGGTTCAAACTTCAAGAGAGAGGTGAAAGAGAGCTAGTCACCCTGGTCTAACTTCCAATGTGGCACTTGAGTTAGGTTCATCAACCATGGCCAATCTCCCTCAACATGATAGGAAAATTATCACTTCTCGGTGGGTCACTCTCAACCCTCCAAGAAAAGCGAGAGAAAATTGAAAGGGAGCAGATAGACAGATCAACGGCAGTAAAAGACTGACTAGGTGTGATGAAAATAAGCATAAGAACCTGTATTGAAGAGAGAAAGGTTGTGATTCCAGATTATACGCTCTACGGAACGACCCCTCACCTATCCAGAGGGGATTGTATCCATTAATGTCTCCCAGGATTAAAAAGGAAGACAGCAACTGTTCAATGAGAGCATCAAGGCCTGATTGATCATAAGTCTGTCCAAGAGACAGGTAGAGAGAACAAAGAGTGATGATGATCCAAGAAAATACGGATGGCTACAGGCTCCAATGGTGTATCGAGTGCTACAGACAAGGTGGACCAGCAGTGCCACCTCTCCAAGCACTTGTCCATCACACAACCTGTCATTCTGGTATAAAGAAAACTGCCAAAAGGTGACTGTATCAGAAGGTTTCAGAAATGTTTCTTGTATGGAAAGATACAGGGGATGATAGGAATTGATCAAGGCCTTAATGTCATTCAGATAAGAATGAAAACCTTGACAGTTCCATGGTATCAAAGTGGCCATTTTTACTTAGGTGGAAGAGAACTGGACAGAGAACCCTTCTGTTTGCGACCACACCATTTTTCTTTACTAGAAGGAAGTCTGTCAACCTCCATGGATACTGCCCTTGGTTGAGTGGGCAGATCTCTGTCATTAGACTAAGATCCCAGCGACTGAGATCATGAACAAATAATCATTCTGCATCTCGGGGGCCAAAGAAGATTGGACCAAGCAGACACCGGAAGCCAGGGCCAAAGGAGGTGGGCCAGGCAGTCACTAGAATGAATGGTAAAGACGAGATAGGAGTAAACATTGACTTGTCAACTCAGTTATCCATTGAGGGCAAAAGACTTTTCACATGATGCAAAAAAGTCTCTGATGGAGGCACAGAAAGGTCCGTCTGCACTCTCACTGTGGCAGTGGAGTGTAGAGCAGCTGCGGATGTCCGAGATGGAGTAGGGGACAATAACTTCTGAGCCTCAGGGTAAGAAATGTTGTTTACAGTTTCTAAATGCTGTATCTCTTTCTCCTCCATCCACTTCGGACTAGAATGAAAGTAAGAGGGATGGGAATCATTACAGTTAACGTAGTGAGGGTCCAGTTTGCACTCTTAGGCATCGTTGTCTTTGCTACCATAACGAGCACACATCACAGAACCATGACAAGATGCCTTCTAATGACTGAACTGCTGACACTGGAAACATCTGAGAAGGTTGAGAATATATGGCCATACCGTACAGTTTAGATAACCTACCTTGACAGTGGCAGGTGGATGTGGCAATGTAAACGTCCAAATAAGAACATTGGTAGGCAGCATAATTCCTTCTTTAGGAGTGGATATATGTTGCACTGCAGAAACTCCTTGGCTGGAGAAACCAGTGAGGATCTCTGAACAGATAATGGTATACATAAAACAAACATTTAATAAAGGCCACAAAATCAGTTCTCTAATTATCTTAGTATATGATCAGTTAACACAAAGTTAACAAATAACCAAAAACGTTAAGGCCTGCAATATCACCATAAAACACGTATTTAATGAAAATCTACTAATCAGATCTTTTGATATGCCAAAATAAAATCAAAATTATTATGTACCTTGGCCAATAACTTATAAATGCATACAAAGTGTAAAAATAAACCTACTTAAACTGCTGAATGTGTTGAACACAATACTAACTGTTTTGGGAACAAATGTTTTTACTCTGTGCCGATGCTTACAACTTGCATACAAACATAGGCCTATATAGGCAACATTTGGGTCTACCATTGAATCAAAGGCAATATTATAGTATATTGACTGTGAATTGTAGGTAGTTGATGCTACAGGCTGTACTAATAATGACAAAAAAGGAAGGGGTATCATTATAAGTTTGACTAGTGAGAACAAAAACAAGACATACATATCTAAATCAATGTCCATCCTTTTACATAGTTTTGCTGGATAAACTGAAACATGTTTAGGATTAAAAGTGAATCCAGAACTGAACTATGATGATCTCCAATCAATATGACAGCCTGTGGCTTTGTGTCATGTAGAAAGTCAAAGTAGTTCATCAAATACAATTTATGTTACATTAAATTTATTAAGCTCTTTTTGCTGTTTTGAATTTTCTAATAATTAATAAACAATTTTATAATTTAAATTTAACACTGACTTAATTTCTCAGTTACAAATATTGGATGTGTATCTAACACAATATACTTTGAAAATATCATATTACTACAAATGTAACATTCTTAGTCTAGGCCAATTAAAAACAAAGTATTATCCAATACTGAACTTTTAATTAAAGAAAGTTTGTCTATTAGAAATGAACTCCCAACTTTAAATAACAACACAACTTCACTACAATTAAGTCTGTTCTGCATACTTGTATAATATTGTTTTATTATCCTATTCTTTGTTTTTCTTTTAATTTACTTCATCCTTTTATTCTGCATTTTCATTAATTTTTTCTATAAGATATTTAAATTTATAGATTTTTGTACCTAATAATTTACCCTGTTCAATATAACTTGCTGAAGATGGAATATGTCTATTCTGAAACATTCAAGAATTAAATGTTTGTTGTTGCTGCCGTCGTTCTGGTGTACATAATATATACATTTGTCAACACATTATAGTGATGTGAAATGCCTTAGCTGGTGAAGCAGTGAGGCTTTTTAGGCCTAATAAAAGTGTTAAAAATACTTCACTACAGTGTTGAAAAATTAGTATTTTCACGTTATATGTTTTTCTGCCACAATCATTGTCCAGGAGTTCTTTTTGTGCAATACCACAACTCATTAGCTAGGCTAGACACGTATGATGACCAGAAGTATATGTGAAATGTTAACATGTAAAAAAACAGCAATGATTCACAAGTTAGGAATGTCAGTAATGAATCAGAATGTATGTGAGAATTATTACAAACCACAAAATATACTTCCATTACTTGTGTGTCAAGAACTAGGAGGAGATATCTCCAAAAAACATTCACTGTTACAAAAAAGCTGTGGGATTAAAGTACCTATATTAGACATTTTGGATGGATTAAATTAATGTTACACTTATCTCTACTTTGTCATTTCGTGGATGTTTTGGAATGATCCATTTTGTTATGCATTTTAGTGTTGAACTCATCATCAAAAACATTATGTATGACAGCATAATAGATATGAGTCACTATAATAAAAATGTTCTTTAAAAAAAAAACAGATATTCACCAATAAAAACTCAAACATTCTCATGATGAAAAGTCTACAAAAGTCACATTCTTAACATTATGCTCTATTTCAATTTCTATAAACATAATACGAAGAAAATGGGAAGGTAAAAAATGTCAGAACAAGAAACCCAACCTCAGCATACTTAAGAGACAGAAATCTTCCTTTTCACCCACACTGAGAAAGATATAAAATTAACCAAAGTTTTCTTATAAAGTTGTGAAAGCATTTCATTTTCATCACTTTGTACAAACTAAAATGTTTTCCTTCATAGGTGTAATAGGTGTTCTGAAAGAAACAATAAGTAACCTGAATTTCAAACGAAGTTTAAAAAAGTATGCCATTAAAAAAACAGGTTTTGTAAACCTGAATCTTGTAACTAACTTTAACCTGAAAATTTTCAACACGAACAACTCATTTTGTAATAATAGAATGTTTTACTCTATTTTGTATAAAACTGTGTTTTTAATATGTTAATTTAGATGTTTTTATGAAGTTTTATCATCACAAGATTAGCATGTAGCTTAGTGATTAAATTTAAAATGTTCTTGAGACTATGAGAAATAATATGAACAATATAAAAATGCCAGCTGAACTATAGTAGTATTACTAAGTTATTGATAGTGTGTGTTACCTCTGTGCTGTAAGTTTTGAGTTTCTGTGTCAACAAAGTAATAAAGTACTGGAGACATTGGATAAGTTAGCAAGTAAATGATTAATGTTATTTAATTGTGAATTTAAATCTATCACTTCATTATTGTAAAGAATGTGAAATTTGTTGAACTTTCACTTGGAGAAATAAAATGCTTTCCTTTCACTAAACTGACTGGACTTTGCAATATTTTTTACCAATTGATCAATATTATCCAACCTAATCATAGAAACAATTATAAAAAAATTTTTATTTTATAAAAATACAAACGTTTCAGTACATATCTGTACAAAACTGAAAAAGTATTTTTTTCCAAGATATTTTTTATGTAAAAGTAAATAGTCTCACTTTAAGTGATTATTTTGTAATTCTAACAATGTCTTAACTTATTTTGGTATGTAACTGTGAAGGTGTCTCATTTAAGTTGTTTTGTAACACTAATCAACAGATATTTAAACTAACAAATGCTTGAACAATTTTTCAAACTATCATAAAAATTATTTTTGTATGAAATGCTACTACAAAACACTATGTTCCAGTTTAATTATTGAAATAAAAACATTGACACAAGGAAATGTTTCATATACATGTCTAGAAAAAATATGAAATATTTACTTACTGTGTTTCAGCAAGATGCACTTAAAAACATACTTGTTCTGCAAGTATGTTAAAGCTTTGTTTCTTCAAAGGGTAAGCAGACTCCAATATTAATGGAGGCTACTGTTAGCTACCCTAAAACCCTTACATGTTAAACTATCCTGGTTTCTGTCTCAGAAAATTAATGTTATTAGAACTGCATAATATTTCATAATGAAATGTTTTCTTTAATTAGAAACATTTACATATAACATGGAATTGACCATAAAATTTAGAATAAGCGACAGCATTGGAACAACCAAGTGTTGAATACTTCTGTACACATTTCAGTAAAAAGCAATCTTAATAATAGCAGAGCTTGACAGAGTTCATTACGTGATAAACTAACAAAACTGGAAACAAGCCATTTATGTACTGTCTATACAACATCTCAACAGATTCAACTCAACACTGGCAACAGATTATGTAAAACAGGTTACTTCAAGGTCTCAATTATTATTTTTAAGCATGACTGTACCAGAAAGAAACATATGATGTACATGTTTAACTTTCCATTCACAAAACCTCTATACATGTGGCTCTGAAAAGGTTTATAGTAAAACTTGGCTGTATAATTCAACTTACTTAGAATATTTGAAAAAATATACCTTAACTCATCATTTTTAAGAAATACTGGACTTTTTATATACTTCTAATAAATTTTAAGTTTAAACTTAAACTCATAAAATAAACCAATGTACATGAAAAATACGCACAGTATAGGTTCAACAAATACACACACACACACACACACACACACACATATATATATATATACACACACACTCACACATATGTGTGTGTGTGTGTGTAATTTTATTACATCACAAAAATGGGAATAATTTCTATTACAAACTTGCAATTCTTTGTGATAAATGTTTCATTTCCACAATCCTCACTCCAAAATTAATTTATTAGATACCCAGTCACTGAGCTTTGGAGGGGGTTGGGTATCAACCAGGACCAAGCCCCCCCCCCCCCAAATATACACAAAAATTAGAAACAAAAACAAATTTGACATTTATTACATTTAACTGAATAATCACCAACAAAACACTGAAGTCTTACTTTAAACTTTCAATGCCCAGCCCCAATTTCTCAAACCCCCACCTTCCCCAGAAATCCATGTCTCAAGCCATACCTGTTATTAACCCCTATTGTTCTCTGAATCCCCGATTTTCAGGGGGTGGTTAGTCTTTGTTGCTCGGAACACATTTTTTAAAAAACTAAACCAATTATTGACAAACTTTCAGTACCACGTTAGTTACCACAAAGATTAGGGCTTAGATGCCTAACTTCGACACTCTGGAGGAGCCGAGTATTACCAGGTACCCCAATACTCAGCCAAGGCCAAATATCTGGTCAGGTACCTGTGCATCCCTACTAAATACCCATTGCAGTATAACAGTATTATAATTTATGAAAAAAAATTTACAAAGCATTTTAATGAGCTCACTTATGAGTAATTCTCATACAAATGTCAGAGAAATATTCCTTTTCCTGTTATTTTTTTTAAACATATCACTTTTCAATTTAATTGAGAAATATAAAACATCATCTAAATATATTTTTTGAAAAAATTGGATTACTTATGTGAAATTTGAACTTTTATATGTGACCTGGATGAACACCTGTTGCGTGGTTTGTTTTATTGTATGTGTGTGTGTGTATATATATATATATATATGTGCAGATTTTGTTAAACAAGACCGATGT